GAAGTCCATGCTGAGTAGCAGCTTAAACATTGCGAGATCTTTCAAGGTCTTGAGCTGAACAATATACTCGCAACATTAGGAACTTTTAGGGTTTTGTTTATTTATTTATTTAACGACTTTCTTTTAACTAGAATTTGAAGTTGATTTATGTATGACATTTTAAATAGTTTATTTTCTGTAAATTTATACACAGAGCTAGCCACCGTTCGCTGCCTAGCTTTATTTTTAATTTTTTATTTTTTTTTAATCTGGCATCCAGATGTGTATAACTGCCATAATAATAATAATAATAATAATAATAATAATAATAATAATAATAATAATAATAATAACAACAACAATAATGGATTAAACTCGGCACCATAAGAATAAAGAGCAAGACTTTAAGGAACTACAATAATAATAATAACAATAATAATAATAATAATGAGGATTTCTATAGCGCCACATCACATAGCTCATGGCGCTTTACTTTGCGGGGGACTTTGGCCAGACTGCACTGAGCAGTATACATCTTTTTTGAAGGAAAGTTTTGCAGATGCCCCCAATTTCAGAATCAAGGCCAGACCACAACACTGGGAGCTACATTCTCTACTCTTTGCGATGTGGGTTCTTTAACGTCCACTGCTAACCAGTTCAAAGAAGATGCATGAGACGGGGCCTACGGTTTTTCATCCCTATCTTTAACAACAAACATGTGGATCAAATTGTATATTACAATTTGACGGCTAAAACAAGAAAAGAAACGCAAGTATTACTCCGTTTCGTGGATGGGTTCATTTAACCCTCTAACTCCCATGGGTAGACAAATGACGATTACAAAGGAAAATAACATCACTTAGGGGATTATTAATCCAATACCAAATTCTCCGAACTAACTTCATAAGAATTGTATGGCAGACAGTAAGGAGAATTACTAATGAGATCTTAAAGGAGCGCCTCAAGCCTGAAGGATCAGCAGGTGTGTGCTGAAAATATATTCCTATTTAAATGCACGACTCATACACAAGAGTGGCTGTGCAGCTCGAACTTGAAGCCCGAGTATTTAATGCCGTCCGACGAAGTTACACAGAGTAGTAAACAACTAGTCATCACCTCTCGGGCTAAAAACGTTTTTGTGCCGCCGCCTGATACGAAAACCCCAAAAACCCAATGGGAAAATGGGAACGTATTCCCCATCCAAATGGAGGCGCACCGACCTCTGGGGGTTAGAGGCAAAAACAGCTTAATTACATGCAAGATAAAATATAACGTAAAACTAGAAAAGCTCAAGAGCTGAGATGAATACAATACAAATGGCAAACCTTGAATACGCTTTACAACAAAAGACTCAATTAACGCCACAGCGGCCCACGTGCTAACACACCAATAGGAAAATATTTCCATTCTCTGTCACTGCCACTAACAGTTTAGTTTCGCCGAATGTAAATAAATTTTCATTATAACGTTTACGATTAAAAAAAAATATCGTCACTTACCATGGCGCACCAGATCTTTCGTTCTCTTTCTTTCGCTGAAGAAAGAAGACAATAACAAATACAAAGTTTATAACGCTTTCCATTTAGCACAATAACACTTGAAATTTTCTTTGCTTCATTCTTTGATAAAAGTCTGGCAGTGTTTGGTGGTGGAGAGCAAACACTCCAAATAATGTGCGCGCCATGCATCTTTAAAGGAAAATCATCAACCACTTTACAACTTACACCCTGGCACATAAAGCAAAGCTTCCACTGTTGTTTTCTCAATGTCCTGAGGTGAGGGGTTCACTCTCATAAACAGCGTCTTAAATTAAAAAAAGAAAAAAAAAAAAGAAAAAAAAAAAGGAAACGAGTTAATCTGAACCGTATCGAAAAGGTGGCAGGGGCTCATCTGTTGATGGGTTCCTCGTCCACTGTTTACTGGTCAGATTGGAATTAATAATGTTGATTCTTTAACTCCTACGAGTGACCAAAACATAATTTCTCCTTACATTACTAAAACAAGATCAAACAGACAAGTGATGAGAATAAAGAAAAATATCAACCAGGGGATTATTAGTTGATCCAAAACCAAATTCTCAGAACTAAAATCCTTAGAATTGTATGACAAACAGTAAGGAGAATCACTAATTAGATCTTGGGAGTGAAAAGTATAAGATTTGTGAAGGGAGGAAAACCTGAGAATATAGAAGAAACCCCTGAGAGCAAGGACGAGAACCAACAAACTCAACCCGCATGTGACGCCAGGTCAGGTCCGAGAATTCAACCAAAGCCACGGTGGGAGGGGCACACACTAATGAGATCCCTCTTCTTGATCCTCTTAAACAATTCGCAGTTTTTTCATTCTTTATGGTTTCACAGTTACATTGCGTCAGAAGATTAAAAAAATAACTCTGAACCGCCACTCCATACTCAGTCCCCGAATATCTTTTGAGCAACAGTCAGAGATTCGTAGGTTTATCCTAGTTTATTCTTCCAAGACTAACAGAGGATCAAAAAGGCCCTCCCGAGTGCCTAAAAGTTAGTTCCAATTCACAATTTCGAAATGAACACTTACCTTTTCAGTAGGCCTTGTCAATTTAGATTTGTGATGGCTCTGCGTGCTATAGTAAAGAACTTGCTGTAAAGTAAGCAAAAACACTAGAAGAACAGTCTCGATCTCTAAACAGTGATAGGTTCAGATCTTCTTCGACTTCTTTGCTGCACGTTGCACACAATCAAATGCGATAAGGATAAGTTGAGAAGTTCGCCACTTACGAAAGCTTTTTCATAATGGACCGCCCTTTCTGTCAGTTGCCGGAGAAAGAACTCATACAGTATGTCAACCGTGCGTTTACTAGCACAACAAATGATAGGTTTATGACGAATCCAAGCGGATGTAAAGTGAACGGGTCGTATAAAAAAAATGACTCGTGCAAATCGATAAACAATAAACAACAAAATAGGTAAAACAAAACAAAACAAAACAAAAGCTCCTATAAGTAACTGTTTCATTTTCAATGCACTCTCGAGTGTAAATGAAAATGATATGCAAAGTTCAAGTTATCTCACCATTGCAACTTGGTCAGAGTAGTTACTATTGAAAGGAAAAAAAAAAAAGAAAAAGAAAAACAAGTATAACCATAGTTTTCTTGAGAGGCTCATCTAAAGCGTTAAACACGATACCGTAGATCGGCGTAATCTTGGAAAAAAAAAAAGAATTACAGTAGCTCAAGGCCTACATCGAATCGGCCATTTAATCAACATCCTACTGAAGGATAAATTGAAGCGTTTACTAAAGAATGTAAAGGAGACATGCTTTCGAAACGAGCTCAAAGAGCTGACAAGAATGTACAGTGACATCGACTGAAACTTCGTGATTACCTTTGACTCAGAGAATCCGCCATGATGACGTTCTGGGCCGCTTGCTTTACGATTTCCTTGTCCTTGTAAACTAGAAGCAAAGAAAAACATGAACGCTTTGGGAAATTTTTGATCGACTAAAGATGTTAATTGTTTTGTCTCGAGCGTGGGAAAAAGAAATAGTCTGAGGCCCCTCGGAGGGATCGACTGACCCCGAAGGCGCAGATTTCCCGATATGATGCCATGCTACGGACAGAGGTTTCGATGATGAAGTAAATAATCAAGGAGGGTATTGGTTCACTTTATTGCGCCCTGTGATTGCACTAGAAAAACGTGCACTATCCTTTCAACCAATCAACTCCGACCTGGTCACCCACGTTTTCCAGCGCTTTTCGCCATTTCGAAGGATTTTCTTTGAGTCTCAATGAGCTCTCTGCGTTATTTATCACGAGAACATTTGACATTTTTCTTTCCTCTACCCCCAAAATCATAATCAAACAATAATCAAACAGATCAACGTTTTTCCCCTTTGTTTGTTTTGTATAACCTGTGGTGACATTTCTCGCGGAAACGAAACTGTTACCTCTCAAAATAAGTAAAAGAGCTCAACAATTAAAATGGAGTTCATGCATTTATATATTGGATGGTGTTAACCAACATGGCTGAAGACAGGAGGCTGGTCAATTCGGTCTGCTTACTATCAGAAATCATGTATGCAGCTTTCATTTCCAGCAAGCAGCTCCGCCAGAAATCCTTCTCTTCCTTTACATGTGCTATGAACGATACTGAATCCCTGGCTGTAAGAGAATAAAGGACAAACGGTAAGAGCTTGTCAATACGCTACTTGTAATATCAACAGGGAGATGGTAGCTTTCTAAAAATTGAGATTAAATGTACTGTGTTTGGTGCACAACGACAAATTTAGTCAACCTTCTTACGCGTTCTCTGTTTTGATATCCTTCTCAATACTCTTAAACTAAGAATGAAAGTTACGAAACTCCACTGAGTCTTGTCGGTTTGAATACTTTGAAACACGGTCGTTATCAAAAGCTCTGGTGTTAATTTGTAAATTAACTACACTTATCAGACTTTTCATTAAACTTAACAGATCTCTTACAAATCATGTGACTTACCAGTGCTGGTTATTCGGATAGCTGTATCCGAATAACCATATCGCGACAACCGACTCTCAGAGTGCGGCTCCACATTCATAATTTCGTCATTGCATAAAACAGAAGTACAGTTCTGAGTTCCATCCGGCAGGAACAACAATCTGAAGTGAAAAAAAAAAAAGATCTCAAGAAATCAAAACTTATGCCCAAATGTCGTGTCAATCTCCAGTTGGTATATGCGCGATGCATGAATGACCTACTTGGACACGGAGCCAACCGCACAATGAATTAATTTTGTTTTCTCAACTGAGTCAGTGAATAAAACGAAATTAAAAGGCAAATTGGCCTCCGTAAAGAGTTTCCAAAGTGGAGCATTAGCCCTTCGCCATAGTGAATCGAGGAAGTGAATTGCTTAGTAAAACCCTCTTTGGTTACAATGAATATATGAAGTTCATATATTTTGAACTGCGGTTGCATTTTGAACTGCGGTTGCATAAATAGCGCTCTCTACTGCGAGGATCGTGCATCATACTTAAAACCCTCTTTACACGACTCCGTATAAAACTTTCATCCGGTTTGAATCACCTTGGTGCGTACGATCCTTTTTCAGTAGATGTTTGATGTGTGTACATAAAGAAAGTATTGAATCCACGTATCCTTGCTGGGTAATCCTTATAGACACATGGACTGACCCAGTTTAAAGGGTGAAGATTTGTGCAATTCTTCCATGTAAAAAAAAAAAAGCCAATCTAGGCTTCGAGCAACACACAAATCAGCATTATCGCTTCGTTTATCCTATTTTAAAATTGTGACTTCCTACCAATTCGCCATACTCGACTTAGAACTTTGCCTAATTTCATTGAGGGAGAGGGAATTGGGAGAGAGGAAGGAGGGGGTCAGTCATCTTTATGGCCCACATGGTTTTTGGTTGACAAAAGACTGACCTGGGTTAGTCTCGAGGCAAAAAACCCATAATAAAGACTGACAACCCGGGTTCCTGTTAAGTACAAATTTAGCTGTATTTGAGTTTGGAGCACAAACTCGGGGCTAGAGTACTTAGCGAGCGAGTCTCCACAAAGCCACCATCTTTAACCAGGAGAAAACGATACCAACTTCTTTACATATGCAATATAATTTACACAAGAGAACACTGACCTGTCGACTGTGAGAACCAGCCAACCCATGCCCTTATTTGTCTTAATATGCTTTGAAACCTTCAGTACATACTGCGGAGAAAAATTAACATGTAACCGCTCACTTGGGAGAAAGCAAAGAAGCGTTGTGGCCACATAGTGAGCTCGGATGAAGAGGTCTGGGCTCGAGAGTTGGAAGTGTGCTCGTTTTCCAGTTATTTATTTCACTCTCACAGTGCCTATACCCATAAATGGGTACTGAAAACTGTCAGTGCTCGGGAGCGGGGTTTAACCTCCACTGAATAGACAAACATCCCACAGAAAGGGGGGGGGGGGTGAGACAATAGAGAGATTAAGCACCACGTTTTTTTTTCCCCGCGAACGGCAGAGAGGGTCACGTGACTTGACATTTCCCGCGTTTGCCGGCCGCCGTTTGTACTCGAGGAGGACGTTTTTCCCGGTTTTAGGGAATGCGAAAACGTGAGTATTTGCAGCCCATTTTTACCGACTATTTCTACATTTTGATCGATTGCTTTTATAGCTAAGCTTCGTTTATCATCTTAATTCTATATGAACTGCTTGTTAAGCTAATAGAGTTCAAATTCAAGCGGAAAATACATTACTTCTTTGTATCCATTATTTCTAGTCGCAGTGAATGGCGACCGAGAACATTTGTTCTGCCGTGTCGTCGGGAAGCTTAAACAGACGAACATCGCGGACAGAACGGCAAACGTCAAACGGCTAGCCGACGTTAAGCGTTTTCGCGGTGCTTAATCTAACTGCTACGTGCTTCTAGCTGCTACGTGGAAATGACACAAAGATAAGTCCCGGTTCCATTAAAATTCACTCTCGTGTTGAGACGTCAACGATGTTTGACGCAATATACAATAAAACGAAAAATCTGAATTTTAAATCAGAAGTGAAACAAACAAACGTGAAATTCAGTATCATCATCACCTCGTTGCGTTCCAAAACAATGTTGCGTAATGAAAGACTCTTAGCTTTGATGCTAGCCTGTGAAGGAAAATACGAAAATGACATTAACGAACGAATAAGAGGAGCACCAAGATGAAACGTTTAAGTTAGAAGGAGTAGAACTGAGGAATGACGGAAGACCACCAATCGGTGAAAACAGTCAGGTGACGGCAACATAATACCAAAAACAAAAAACCTAACTGCGAAGCGATCTGGATGTTTATCAAGGCCCAGTTGTTCAAAGGCCGATTAGCTCTAACCCAGGGTTAAATTTTAATCCAGGTTTCTAAATTTCTCTAATCAAAAGCCATTTTGGGATAATTTTCTAAGTTCTTTTTTGGACATTCAATCATCAAATTGTAGACAAATGGAATTAAGCTGAATTTTCTTTCAGAGCTTTCAGATCTGAAATCAAATTTCACACTAACCCTGGGTTATCTTTACACAGTTTTGAACTACCCGGCCCAAAATCTGCAGTATACAGATACCTCTGTGAAAGCGTAATAAAATGTGGCAAACGTTTCTGGATCGACCACTGCAATGAAAGAACAGGACACATTCTCACATCTCTGACCAACAACCACAATTGACAAAATTTTATAAAGAAAAATGATCCTTTTTTTGGTGTCCTAGTTTCGATATTTTTCTTGAGAATTCAAACAACTCTCTGTACCTGTTGACGTTGAATCATTCGTCAAAGCTTGGAATAGTCTCCTTCCTGCATCTTGACTGTTAGCTATCTGTAACATGCTTGCATGTTTCACGAATTCTTCAAGAGCTGATAAAAAGAAGAAAACAATGATGTAACAAAAATAGGTGGAGTGCTAAAGAAACGTTTCTAAAGTTATCTGTTCCGATCGAATCCTCAGAGTTTGTCTGGGAAAGAATGTTTCTTCGCTTCACGTATCCACAAGTTAAAAAAAGATCTCTATTGCAAAAGAATTTGTCTTTGAAAAAAAGTGGTGGAAAAAAAAAAAAAACTGGAAAAGTGAATCAATCTCTTCTTCCAATTTTTTTCATTAGGAGTGTTGTGTTTGCGTTAGAATGACATATTTGAAGGAAACGTTCGACGTGTTTTTCGCCATGCAAATAAAAATGAAGCTTACCCAGAGGAGTCGAGGGAATTGCTGAAGTAACCACCTCCTTTCTATTAAGAAAAATTAGACACTGTATCATTAATCTCGTTTTGACGGTCACAAAGTTTGTAAATGCACATTCTGGTGAATTCTATTTCTTTTCTAATAAATAGGCGTTATCGACTAAGCGTGAGGTCAAGATGGCTGGATATTGGCCGAGTTCCAACGACGCTAAAAGGGAGCTTAAGCAACCACGACGACGAACGGAGGACGACGACCGGAAGTAATGTGAACGTTACTGCGCAAGCGTGAACCAAGAATTCCGTCGTCGTCTTGTCGTCGACGACTTGAGAAGGACCTGTTTCACGTCGTCGTGAACTTCCGAACTTCAAAGCAGTTTTTCTCGTCAAAAGGTTGACAGTCTAAAGCTGGTTGGAGTTTTTATTCGCTTCTTCGGTTGATTTAAACCTCCCTGTTCAGTTTTCTAAACAAATAAAATTCGAAAACCCACTAATTCATTTTCCTTCCTCCGCACAACAGATGTCAAGTCAAGCGGTGAAAGCGACCTCGTTAGGTTTAAATTTATTTCAGTTGTTTATCATTTTTATTGAATGAAAAGGTTTAAATGGCAGTGCACTACACCTCTGCGTTCGGTCAAAAGCTGTGTGTATGGAACTGCCGGTTTATTGCTGCTAAAACATTTTGCGTGTTGCTGTTCTTCTGTCGAGACGCTTTAAACAGCAAAGAATTCTCCAGATCTGTGTGTCAACATGAGTTTGAATACCTCTCAGGTTTTGTGAATCTATTTTCGAAATGTTTGATAAAGATCTAGATTTACAGCCATAAAAATTATTCCGACAAAATCACACGGGAAAAAAGAGTATTCTTCTGTGAAGCGCGACGACTGATCTGTGCCGATCGCTAGCTAGCATTGATTAAAATTGG